AGGTGGACCAGGTGGCAGCACTGGCAGAGCTACTGCACCAACACTTTCCGGCCCTCTTGATCTTTTTGCACCCTGAGCACAGTGCATTGGGTGTACACCTCCGCAAAGTACTTGGCCCCGACCTTCCAGCCAGTCTGATCTTGGAGGCCATGACCGAAGTGGACCAAGTGTTGACGCTCTCCTGCCTGGGTCAGCTTGAGCTCCATTACAACCAAAACCACAAGGTGTACAAAGCTCGTGCAGCGCTGCCAAATCGGCCTGAGCAAGAACAGGATTTGGCTGTCAAGGAGTATGCATTTGCCCAGCAACACAAGCAAAATCAGTGTCGTACGTTTCTGCGCGAGCTTCGCGCCATGCGCCAGCTTGAGCATCCAAACATCGTTCCAGTCCTCGGTGCGCTTGTGGGCGTGCATGATGGCCACCCAAGCGCCTATCTGGTGCAGCCGTGGTGTACACAGGGGGATCTGCAGCAGTGGCTCGGCAAGGCGCGGCATCTGGCCGCCTCGACCGTCGTTGCGAGTTTGATGACGCAGCTGCGCATGGCCCTGGCGTTTATGCATAGCAAGGGCCTGGTGCATCGGGATGTCAAGCTGAGCAATGTGATGCTGGACGGTGACGAGGACCAACCTGTTGTGCGGCTCGGCGATTTCGACATTGCCAAGGCGGCTGCCGAAGCCACCATGCTGCCATGCACAGCCACTGCGTCGTCGGGCACGACTGGCTATGTAGCACCGGAGGTGCTTTTCGGCCAGGGTCGAGTGGGGGCGCGTTCGGCACAGGATGCCTTTTCCTTTGGCTGTGTGCTATACAACACCTACATGTTTCCACAGACGGTGCCACCTGCTCGTTTACCCACGGACCAGCTTGCCGATCAATGCACATGGGATGCAGGGGCAGGAGGTGCAGAATGCAGTTTTCCGCACTTGGCGGCTGAGGTGAGTAATATCGCAATATCCCTTGAGCGACAACTGAGCACCGCTTTGATTGTGATTTGCTTTGCTGACCTTTGCTGCAGATGTGCAATTCGACGAGCGAGTTGTACAAGGAAACACGGGCCTTGCTTGCAACAGATCCAAAGCAGCGGCCAAGTCTCTTCAGCGCCGGGCAAAGAGTGCAGCGACCTGTCACGACTCAAGCTGTTGGACCAGCCATTGACGTTTTACGCGACGCACCCGAGCTCATCCCAGAGGTGCGTTGCTTGCCGACATAGTCATATTTACATTATTTTTATCTTGACAAGCTGACTGATTTGACCCCATTGTGTACCAAGGTGGTTGAGCTGCTACAGCAGCTGAGTGCTGACGGGCGAGGGCCAAGCAACATTGCAGTGCGGCGGGTGGAGCGTGTGCAGAACCCCGTGCTGTGGGAACGGTACAGCGCCAAGCGATGGGAGATGCTGCACCGCATTACAAGTCAGGAGCACTATGATCAACTTCATACGGCCACAGTAGATGCGCTCTCGGGCTGTCCAGCTTTGCTTCGAAATACACCCTGTCAAGAGCGCTTGTTGCTTCACGGCATCGCCCCTGACACAATGTTGCGCGACAAGATTGTGCGCCTGGGCTTTGACTATCGTTTCGCTGGTCGCAGCTCAGGCCACAATTATGGACTTGGTGTTTACTTGGCCGATCATCCCGGCAAGGTGTGGTGATACTGTTGATTTGCAGGGTGATACGTGCGTGTCCTTACATTTTTTTTTTGGCGCTGTGTGTCTACTGGAACCTGGGTGTAGAGTCACCAATATGCGACGTGCGGAGCAAACGGCGAGCGCATGCTCATTATTACGCGAGCTCTGTTGGGCCGTGCCTATGTCCATCCTTCGCCTCCTTTCAGAGCGCTAGCTCCCCCGCTGCTGCCCGATGCACCCAACAACGAGCGGTATGTCAATCAAGATTCGAGTCCTGTCTCACAGTTTGATGGGACTCATGTTTGGTTGTCTTGCAGATTTGATTCTGTCATTGCTACACCGCAAGTTACGTTTCGCGAGGTGATAATGTTCGACAACGCCCAGATTTACCCCGAACTAGTCGTCTACTACACTGCCTAGATGTTTTCGTTGAGATCCTTTGTCGTGCAGTCAAACCTGCTCTCCCAGGCACTTGTACTGCTTTTGCACACATCCAGCGTCGTTCACCACAAGGCCTCCTCGTTGGGAATACCCAAAGGTGGTTTGACTTTGCTTGCACATCCACGCACATCCTTTGAATGTGGGAAGGCGCACAAGTCAACCTCGCGCGTGTTTCAAGTACTTTGCCATGTCTAATCCGCCTTTGACTATCGTCGTCTCTTCTTGCTGTGATACCTGTGCTTGGACACGCGTTGCACTTTCCCTGTCCTTGGAACCGAGAGCGATTCCGCAGCTATTTCAACGGTGCACCTGGTCTGGTCATTGTGAATACGTTCCAACCGCAGCTGGTAGAATTGACCTGCAGACAGCAAAAAATGTCTTGCTCCTTCCCGACAAACGCCCCCGAAACCCCTGGAAAAAGGTTTCGTCTCGACTGCGTCTCGAGTCGTTGAGGTATCACGGCGTACCTCAACCGTGTGTTGGAAGCAGCGATGAAAATCAGGATTGCAAAAATTCTGCGAGACCAACGGGTGTCGACACGGTGCTCCGGTGATTGCCTGAACGGCTCATGCTGATGATGATGATGATGATGCCACGACACTCCACCTCGCCCGAGGAGCAGAAACCAGGCGCAAGTGAAAAAAAATAAAATAAAATAAAAAAAAAAAGCAAGAAGAAGGACATGAAGCACAGTCATTGAGCGCGCGCCTCGCACTCGTCTGACCAACTTTTCGTTGACGCGTTGCCATGAGCTTAAATCCGGCTCGCTCGCCGTCAGGAATGGTCGCTCGCATCCGGGCAGGGGATAAGATTGATATGACTGGAGAGGCAGTTAGCCAAACGGGCTTGTAACGTCATGGCAAGCATCGAGGCAGTACACGTTGTACGTTCAAGCCCCAGTTTTACAGCGCCTTGGAAGCTGCTCGTAACAGGCGAGCTGTCATGCCAGGCAAAGGGGCAGTCCACGTTGGTACGGACACAAGCTTGACGGCGCTTTGGAACATTTGCTTGTAAGACTGTTGTTGTTTTGACTTTTTCTCCGAAAATAAAAAATTAAAAAAGAAGAAAAAAGGTGTAAACGTGTGTGTGTGTGTGTGTTCTTCGCATTTTTCTCGTTCTTTGGCTTTTGGCATTTGCCTTTGACTTCTTCTTCTTCTTCCCCTCTTTGGCATCGGTCTCGATCTCGATATCAGCTGACTTGACGTGTCTTGCTTTGTGTGTGTGTGTGTGTGACGACTGATCGCTTGTGCTTGGTACGCTTTCCTGGTTGGGGCCTTGGGGCGACGCCAGAACGTTTTGATTGAAAGCACTGCTGCCATTTTTTTTGCTTTCAACTGAAGTTGGCCTCACTGATCTCGCCTCACGTGCGGTTGGGCAACCAAGTCCACCGGTCCTCGCAACCAAGTTATTTGTCTCGAGGTGAGTCGTTTGTTGCACCAGACAGAGAAGAGCAAGGAGCCCGCTGACCGGCTGCCGTTTTGGAAACGGCGCGCGCCTGTCGAATCCCAGTCCGAATTCTGGGTTGTCAGACGAGTTGTACTTGGAGGGGGCTCATGAGATTGATGATGGATAGAGAAGCAAGCAAAGCGGTTTGAAGCGGATGGTGAATAGAGAGAGATACCGTTACCATGAGTGATGATGGAGAGCAGCTGTACAGGGCGTGTGATTCATCAGATCCACAAAAGGCGCTGCAGCTGCTGACCAGTTGGGACCAACAACGCATTCGAGATGCTGCCCAATACAAAAATAAGGTGGTACGTATGCTGTTTGGTATGATGTTGTGTGATATTGGTTACACTTTGAATATGTCACTGGATGGGGTGACGTTATGGTATAACATGGGACATATACTGCATGTTTGCATCATCCCACAGCTTGGCTTTACACCACTGCACAGGGCCTGCCAATACGGTCATGTCAAGGTGGTGGAGATGCTGTTGAAGCACGGTGCTGATGCTGAAGCCAAGGAGATCGTCAGTACAGTACCTCCCTCTTCCCCCCTTTAACCCCCCTATGCTGGTGCACCTGTACCCCATGATGATGCTGATGATGATGATGCTGTACCTGTACGTCATGCTGATGCATCATCCCACAGACTGGCTATACACCACTGCACTATGCCTGCCGTAAGGGTGATGTCAAGGTGGTGGAGATGCTGTTGAAGCACGGTGCTGATACTGAAGCCAAGAACAACGTCAGTACAGTACCTCCCTCTTCTCCCCTTTACCCCTCTATGATGGTGCACCCGTACCCCATGATGATGATGATGATGATGATGATGCTGTACCTGTACGTCATGCTGATGCATCATCCCACAGTGGGGCGAAACACCACTGCACATGGCCTGCGATAACGGTCATGTCAAGGTGGTGGAGATGCTGTTGAAGCACGGTGCTGATGCTAAAGCCAAGAACAACGTCAGTACAGTACCTCCCTCTTCCCCCCTTTACCCACCATGATGGTGCACCCGTACCCCATGATGATGATGATGATGCTGCTGTACCTGTACGTCATGCTGATGCATCATCCCACAGAATGGCAGTACACCACTGCACTGGGCCTGCCTTTACGGTCATGTCAAGGTGGTGGAGATGCTGTTGAAGCACGGTGCTGATACTGAAGCCAAGAACGACGTCAGTACAGCACCTCCCTCTTCCCCCCCTTGACCCATCTGGCTGCTGCTCCTGCTCCCCTGCCCCGTCGCCTTTGCCCCCGTCCCTCCTCTCCGCTACACCCTGCCCATCCGTGCGTGCCCGTTCTCCACCCCTGGCTCCTTTGCTTCTTTCCCGCTATCCCTCTTCTTCCCCCGTTTTGCGTCCGCCCGTTGTCGGTGCTCCCCGCGCCCCACTTGTCTCTTCCGCCTGCCGTTTTCGCTCTCCCCTTTTTCTGATCCATCCCCAACCCCTTGCCATCACGCCTCTGCCTCCCTCGCTCGCCCAAGCGGCTCTCGGTGACCGCGCCTTGACTTTTGCCCCCGGCACACGCGCCTTTTCCTTTTTTTTTTTTTCCTCTCTCCAAGCGCGCCTCCGTTCGGACCCCTGCTACCTGCCCGCACCATTTGCACACCACTCGCGCGTCTGGCGTCTTCGGCCCACTTCAAAGCATTGTCACCTCGCCTGTGTTATATCAAAGCAAATGCACGTCGCCCAACTCAGCCCTCACGTCGCTGTCCACCTCACACGCTCCAATCACATGTCCTCAGGATGGCGAAACACCCCTTGATGTCGGACATAGATATGGCGACAAGCTGGAGCCCGTGTTTGCTGCCCACGAGGCTCGCCTACCACAACCACCCGCACCACTCGCTCCGCCTACGCCGGCACCGCCTTCCGCCTGGCTACCACCTCTGCCCACCACCCCCACCCTCGAGGTGAGCCTGCTCCCCGATCTTGTTTTCCCAATGCATTTATTGCCCCAATCCCCACGGCCTCATGCAACCTAATCACGACCAATGGCACCCCACAACCCTTCATTAGACCACGGCCTCTGTTGTGGTGGCGGTCGACACTTGGCTCAGGCCACTCCTGCCGGAGCGCACCACCACCCATCCCCTCCCCCACCTCGATGCCTTTATCAGCGGTGCCGCCAAACAAAACCCCAATCTTGCAACGGCGGTTGCGGACATCCAGATGACCATCGATGAAGCGCCACCAGAGTTTCCTGCCATGGACTGGGCTGCCTTCCGGGCGACCACCACCCAGGCCCTCGGCGCGCTCGACCAGGCACTGGCAGCACCCCAAGCGTTGAACAACCGCTTGAAGCAATTGGACCCCAACACTGACAACCTAGAATCAGTGCTGCAAGAGCTGCACGGTGTCACTGCTGGTTTTGAGCTGCAGCCGGTGCTTCTGGAGCTTCAGACCGTGCTGGCAGCATGCCCAGCTCCACCCACCACGCCAGTGAACGCGCCCAAGACACCACCTGCCGACCTAGCGGCAGCCCTGAGCAAAGTCATCGTTCTGAGCGGCGTGGAACCCAAGCGTCAGGAGCTGCTCACCAGCGCCAACAGCAACCTCAAGCGCCTCGTGCTGGCCTTGATTGAGGCCCTGGGCGCCGTGGCAAAAGCGGGAACCACCGACACAATTCATCGCGTGGACACACTAGAGCAGTGTGCGCAAGGCTTGGATGTGAGTGCACCACCTCCAGCCGAGGCATTGCCCGAGGCCTGGGAGGAGCTGTGCCAAGCCCACGAAAAGCTGAGCTTGCCCGAGCAGAACGGCCTGGAGCAGCTGATAACATGGAGAGTCGAGCACGACTATGAGCATCAAGATTGGTATCTGGCGTTTGCGCTTCACGAGGCGCAAGCCCTGGTGCAGCAGTTGCAAGACATGATCGACTGGCAAGCCACGACGCTGTCCGTGCTGACTTCATGCGAAGAGTATGCAAGCGGCATCACGCAGAGCAGCGCAGATCAAGTAGTATCCATTCATGAGGAGGTGGCCAAGCTGCAGAAGAACATCCAGACAACCACGGCATTCTTGCCCTTGGCTCCAGATGAGATGCGAGCTGGCCTCGAGACTCGATTGCAAACTATGAAGGAGCGCTTGGTCATTTTGCAGCAACAACTATCGGATCAAACACAGGTAGACCAGGTGGCGGCACTGGCAGAGCTGCTACACCAACACTTTCCAGCTCTTCTGGTCTTTTTGCACCCTGACCAGAGCGCGCTGGGAGCGCGGCTCCGCACAGTGCTTGGCCCCGACCTTCCAGCCAGTCTGATCTTGGAGGCCATGACCGAAGTAGACCAGGGTTTGACGCTCTCCGGCCTGGGCCAAGTGTCTCTCCAATACAACCAGAATCATAAGGTGTACAAAGCCCGCGCAGCACTGCCGAATCTTCCTGAGCAAGATTTGGCTGTCAAAGAGTATGCACTTGCTGAGCAACACAAGCAGGACCAGTGCCGTACATTCCTGCGCGAGCTTCGCGCCATGCGCCAGCTTAAGCACCCACACATCATCCCGGTCCTCGGCGCGCTCGTGGACGTACACAGTAGGCACCCAAGTGCCTATTTGGTGCAGCCATGGTGTGCACAGGGGGATCTGCAGCAGTGGCTCAGCAAGGCACGCCACATGGCCACCTCGACCGTGATTTCGAATCTGATGAATCAGCTGCGCACGGCCCTGGCGTTTATGCATAGCAAGGGCTTGGTGCATCGGGATGTCAAGCTGAGCAACATCATGTTGGACGGTGCAGAGGACCAACCTGTTGTGCGGCTCGGTGATTTTGACATTGCCAAGGCCGCCGCTGAAGCCACCATGCTACCATCTACGGCCACCGCATCGTCGGGCACGGCGGGCTATGTGGCACCCGAAGTGCTTTTTGGCCGGGGCCGAGTGGGGGCGCGTCCAGCACAGGATGCCTTTTCCTTTGGCTGTGTGCTATACAACACCTACATGTACCCACAAACGGTGCCGCCGGCTCAGTCGCGAACCGATGAGGTTGTGGGTCATTGCAGATGGAATTTCCAAGCGGGAGATGGTGCCTTTAGCTTTCCTCATTTGGCGGCCGAGGTCAGTCAATTATTATTTTTTTCTCTATGATTTTAAGACGCTCTGGTTGTCGTCGTCGTCGTCGTTGTCGTTGTAGTTGCTCATACCTGTGTTTCTGTGCAGATGTGCGACATAGTGGGCGATCTGTACAAGGAAACGCAAGCCTTGCTGGCAGCAGATCCGAAAGCAACGGCCAAGCCTTTTCAGCGCCGGGCAATTCGCAGAACGACCTGTCACGACCCAAGTTGTTGGGCCAGCCATTGATGTCTTGCGCGATGCGCCCGAGCTCATTTCAGAGGTGCGTTGCTTGTGATTTTTTTTCTCTCTCTTCCACGAATCGTCTGATTTGAACCTACTGGGTGGCTAGGTGGGTGAGCTACTGAAGCAGCTGAACACCGATGGGCGGGGGCCAGCGAATATCACAGTGCAACGAGTGGAGCGCGTGCACAACCCCGTGCTGTGGGAGCGCTACAGCGTCAAGCGACGCGAAATGTTGCATCGCATCAAAAGTCAGGAGCATTGCACCCAGATTCAAACGGCCACATCAGATGCGCCTTCGGGCTCTCCAGCTCTGCTTCGCGATACATCCTGTCAAGAGCGCCTGTTGCTCCACGGCATCGCCCCTGACACAATGTTGCGCGACAAAATTGTGCGCCTGGGCCTTGACTATCGCTTTGCTGGCAACAGTGCCGGCCACCGATTCGGTCTCGGTGTTTACTTGACGGACCATCCCGGCAAGGTAGGGCAGCACTGCGCTGGCTATCAATCTCGCCTGTTTACCCAAGTGCTGTGGTGCTGACGCAATGTGCTTACATGATCTCAGAGTCACCGGTACAGCAATACTGGATCCAACGGCGAACGAATGCTTGTCATCGCGCGAGCCCTGCTGGGTCATGCCTTTGTCCATCCATCACCTCCTTCTGGGGCGCTGGCGCCACCGCTCCTGCCCGCTGCGCCCAACAACGAGCGGTGCGTCGGACAAAATCGCCTGCCTATTGCATGTTGCCTTCAGCAGGGTACCTCTGTCCACCACCTGATCTGACTTGTTGCATTTGCCATTGAATTCTCTTTAGGTATGACTCGGTCGTCGCGACACCCTCTGGGGAATTCCACGAGGTGGTGGTGTTTAAGAATGCCCAAATGTATCCCGAGCTGGTTGTATACTACACGGCCAATTAGGATGAGCTGGACTAGTCGGTGGTCGTTCGCGTCCAATCCGCCGCTTTCCCACGCATATGGACACCCCGTTGCTTTTGCACACAATCAGCGTCATCTACCATGGGTCTTCCCACAGGAGCCCCTATGGAGCTGGTGCGACTTCATTTCCTGACTAACATACGCACCGAGACGAACTGAGGCGTGCCCTTCCTCTAGGGGGCACATGCGTCGACCCGTGTGCTTCGTGTACTTTGCAATGTCTTGGCAGACAGTCTTGTCTGATATGCTTGTGTTCGCCGTTGTTCGTTGTTGTTTGTTTGTTTGTTGTAACACCTCTTGGTCTGGTCACTGTGAATGCTTGCCGACCGCAGCTGGTTCAATTGACCTCGAGACACCACCAAATTTTTTGTTTCGTCCCGACGGACGTCTTTCGAACCTCGTTCAAAACGCCTCCTCAACACGACCCGCTTCCTCGCAAACCCAAACTGGCCTTTCACATACTCTGGAGCCTGACTGCTGGCTGTCTCTGAATAAACGGCATACCTTTCCATACATGGATCAGGAAATCAGCATGCTAATCTTCATGTTTTTGCTGCTGGGCAAGCCTCTGGAGCACAGGCTGAGCAGCTGGCTGAAGAAGCGGGGCAGGCTGGACACGTCCGACGACTATGCTGCATTTCGTCGAAAATCGACAACGTACCTGTATCGGCCAACGCTTGGGGTACGCCGCGACCCTTTGGATGTCGACGGTTGTAATTCATCGACTCTTGGCCGAGACGACCAGCGCCCTTGGCAGCCTAATCCACAATCAAGCTTGGCATTCTGGAGACACGGCCGAGCAAATGACCATGTGCAAACCAAGATGTCACCTCGACTGATGCATCGAGTGGACTCGCATCAATGGCATGCTTTGTTTGGACGAGATGGCAAAGCGCAGTATGGCCGAGTTGACAGCAACCCAAGAAGCATCGGAAGTTTGCTATATTCCAACAGTTGGAACCCGGTGACTGGCCTCTCGCCCGAGGCGAATCTTATTGTTGTTGTTGCTGCTGTTGTTGTTATTGTTGTTGTTGTTGTTGTTGTTGTTGTTGTTGTTGTTGTTGTTGTTGTTGTTGTTGTTGTTGTTGACGTGTGGTGTTTGTGTGCAGGTGTGCGAGGCGATGAGCGGTTTGTACAAGGAAACAAGGGCCTGCTTGCAAGAGATTTCAAGCAGCGCCCAACTCTCTTCAGCACCGGGCAGAGTGTGCAGCGCCCAAGTTGTTGGGCCAGTCATTGACGTTTTGTGCGACGCACCAGAGCTCGTGTCAGAGGTGCGTTGCTTGCTGATATCGTCATAATAATATTGTTCTTTTTATCTTGACAAGCCGACTCATTTGAATTTATTGTGTGACTTGGTGGCTGAACTGCAGCAGCAGCTGAGTGCTGACGGGCTCGGACCGGGTAACGTTGCAGTGCAGCGGGCGGCGCGTGTGCAAAACCCCCGTGCTGTGGGAACGGTACAACACCAAGCGACGGGAAATGCTGCATCGCCTCACAAGATAGGAGCACTATAATCGACTTGTAACCACCACCTCGGACGCGTTCTTGGGCTGTCCAGCTTTTCTTCGTGATACACCCTGTCAAGAGCGCCGGCTGCTTCACGCCTGAGCAATCGCTGCGCGATAAAATTGTGCGCCTGGGTCTCGACCATCGCTTTGCTGGTCGCCCGCGAGCCACCAGTTTGATTTCGGTGTTTACTTGGCCGACCATTTTTGGCAAGGTGGGGTTAGAAATTGCGACTGGTTTGATCGGAATGCGCCGCTGTTCTGATGCCAGATGCACTTTTGTGTATGACTTTAGAGTCAACATCAGTACACCTACGGTGGACTCGATGGCGAGTGCATGCTCGTTGTCACGCGAGTTTTGTTGAGTCATGCTCATGTCCATCAATCGCCTCCTTGTCTAGCACTGGCCCCACCGCTCTTGCCAGACGCACCCGACAATGAGCGGTGCGTTGGACAGACCCGACTTTGGCACGTTGCATGTTGTTTTTGAGCCGCGAGTACCTCTGGCTGGCTTTGGACTTGATATGTGCTTTTGCTACAGATATGATTCAGTGATCGCGACACGGCGTGGCGAATTTCACCATGTGGTCATCTACGACAATACCCAAATCTGTGGGACACTACACGACCCTTTAGGATGCTCGTGCCATGTGCTGTTTGTTGGCTTCACCTTCCTCGTCCCTGTCTGCTTGTGCTTGTCACCAGTCATGCAAGCACGCGCAGAGCCATGAATTGATCTGCACACAGATTTCAGTGGCGGTGGGGATCGGGCCGTTATCTGGCCACAGGCTCCAAGTTCGTGTACTTCTTGCCGAAATGGCAACTTGGCAACCCGCTTCAGTCTTGCGTCAAGCTGACAAATGTTGTGTGGTGTGCCGTGCACTTCTGCTGGCAGGGATAGCCGGGTCCTCATCTGGACCACTGACTCGTACCAACAACTGCATGAGCTGCACGGTCACAGTGATGGTGAGTGCAGCATCGGTCTTCCTCCGGCCGTTCGCCATGATGGACGAGGCCATGGACTCTTCCACTCTTTTGGGCCACTTCTGGTACATACTATTGTAGGTGTATCAGGACTAGCATGGCACCCCAAAGAGGCCATGTTGGCTTTTAATTTGGAAGTAAGCGAGATGGACAAGGCCATCCGCGTGTCTCTCTCTCTCTCTCTCTCTCTCTCTCTGTGTGTGTGTGTGTCTGTGTGTGTGTGTGTGTGTCTGTCTGTGTCTGTGTCTGTGTCTGTGTCTGTGTCTGTGTCTGTGTCTGTGTCTGTGTCTGTGTCTGTGTCTGTGTGTCTGTCTGTCTGTGTCTACGTATGTGTCTGCATCTCTCTCCGTGAGTCCCTCTTGTGACTGTGTCTGTGTACCTCTCTGTACCTCTCTGTGAGACTCTCTGTGAGTCCCTCAGTGCCACTGCCGCCGTTGTGCTGCTGTGTTGTTGAGTTCACACACTCACACACACACACACACACAGTGACTTCTTGTAATTTTGAAAATCCGGTATTTTCAATCTGGCCGAGCTTCAAGCGGCAGTGCAAAAGGGATTAATTTCGGGGTCGAGCTGTATGTCTCATTTTATGACCAGTCTACTCAGTTTTTGAAGCTGTATCGAGTGGTGCCGATTTTATTGTTGTAGCATTCGGCCTTTTGGTTATACATGTGTGTGCAGATTGGTGAACTGAGCGTGCCGAGCTTGACTGCTGCATGGAGAAGATGTAGCTGGGCTATTAGCCAACGGGATGAGAACATGGCCCGATACCGCGCTCAACCGTCTCATTGGGCATGATCTGTTGGATACACTTTGCTGTGACAATTGTCGGGACGGAAACAATCATGACCAAGTCGCGAAACAACATATTTAGCGATTGGAGGCTTCACAACAGGGGGCCTGGTCAAAAGCGGCAGGACGTACCAACAAATCACCACCACACTGTCGCCTTGTACTGCTGGAATGATACAGGACATGCCTTGGAGATGTCGTCAATCTCGTCTGCAGTTATGCAGCTTGCCTCGTTAAACCATTCATCAACTCCAAGTTAAGACTGATGCTCGTCAAGGGGGGCTCTCCTCCGGGTCGTGCCAGGATCGGACCCCAAAAATCAAATTCCTTTGCACTTGTGTAACCTTGGGCAGGCTCACCTTCTTCAGTGGGTAGTGGGGGATGAAGCGCATGTAAACTTGAGGTACCAGCTGCTTCACTCGAGGCTGGTGGCTGGCTGTCGCCGGATGTATTTCCGGGCTTGTGTCCGGCGTGGCAGCAGTCATTCCTCGTCACCAAAACGCCGAGGCATTGAAGTCTGGTCCTCTGCCTCGTCTGTGAATGTGTCATGCTCGTTGGCTCAAGTACTCAAGCCGTTTTGAACTTTTTCTGACCGAGAAAGACCTGTTGCTTGCCTCAAACGCTCAATCAGCCTGGCCTTATCGCCAAACACGCAAAGGCCTAGGCGACGACAAGCACCTCGAAGGCCCACGAGGGTAAGTGGATCAATATTCAGAGCTTGCATCCAATCCTTATTCTCGTTCATTGCTTTTGCTCGCGCGGGCTCGTTGTCGCGCCGGGAAGAGGTGACGGAGTGACGCTGGAGCAATTGAGAGAGAGAATCACCCTCACCCAAGAGGCCGTGTGGCCCACGAACCGGAACGCGTCGCTGGCTGTGTCGTACTGCTACATGAGTAAGATTCTAAACAAACATGGCCTGCAGTGATGCAAATGCTCTCGTGCTGCTCCTGTAGGCGTGCTTGGAGGACCGACACCTTGATTGCATTTTTGTTGGCCAAGGCACGAGCGGTACGCGGGGTAGTGTTTGCGGAGGCCGGCTGAGCGGGGGAAATATCGCACTGATGCGCTTGAGTTGCCCTTCCAGATGCAGGACTGGGCAGCGCAGAGCCAGGTGTTGAGGTAGGTGCGTTCAGCATAGAATCGATGTCTCTGGATTCAGCTGCTATGCCAGCATGTCGAAAGGCTCTAGCCATTCAATCCGGCCTTTGACGCTGTGCGTGAATGGCGACGTAAAGGACGTGAATCTCGTCGCCCACCGTCAACGAGCTGACTCAAGTGAGCCCGCAGCTCGTCTGCGCCCTGCACTATCA